GTTTATGGTAATTGTTCTCACAGTCAGTGTGGCAAACTACCGGTGTTTATGAGTCTTCGGCCGCCTTGGTGATTTAATTGCCCCATCTAAAAAGACAGCTGCATGAAAAAGCGCGAGTAAAAAATTTTTCAACTTGAGTTAAAGAGACTGTTCGCAGATCCGTGAAGCAGATTTGACTTCAGCGCCTCAACTTGCGTACAACATTTCATTGTCAGTGGCAGCATGAAAGTGATATACACATATGCGATATGCAAGTACCTTCTTTTGACAAGGTCGATCGCTTAAGCGCAGAGTATGTCCTACATTTGTGTTCAAAAACATTATATAGACGCTTGCCGCAGTGCGATGCACGTCGACCGCTCTATGGTGCCCCAATGCCCATCTCTAACCGCTAGTTGATGGCGCGGCTATTCCGCTGCTCTCTTTCTCCATTAGGCAGACCTCATACTTCGCGACAGCAGCGGCGATCGCCGCGATCGTCGGTGCATGGTAGCGCGCGCCCCAACGCCATTATGGACCGCTCGCCTGATGAATAAGGGAATCCAACTTGTAAGACCTTCTTTACTCTTAATAATAGCTACTAACTGACAAGTTACGACTTTCTATGCTTAAGCAGATCTGGAACATGTTTCACTTCTTTTTAGGTCGTAAGGTCAACTCTTTTCCCTGGGTGAGCTTCTTTTTGTTTTTTGTTGTTTTTATTGTTTCAGTTTATACAAGCGCTTCGAAAGTTGCTATCGTCTGAACTGTTCCAACTTCCAAAACATTTATAGTTTACAAGTCGAGTAAAACAACGAAGAAAAAAAAGAAACAGAAAGAAACTCACCTGGGAACCAAAACACTAATCATTTCACTCAGCATCAACAGGTGAAAACTTTATAGCCTCATGTATATGCTCAAACAATGAAAAAAGAAATAATAAGAACCTACCTTAAATGCAAAAAATGAAAAAAGAAACAATAAAAACCAACCATAAGTGAAGCTATCACGATTTTTCCTCATTTCTATCCCGAATCAGGAAAGAAAATAGAAAACAAAAGCAATTAAACTGGGTTCACCTTACACTGAGTCTCAAGCTTCAGTACCTAAGGAAATTGTAGTCAAAGGAAAAAAAAAGCATGAAAATGGTCTCTTACCCCCAAAAGCTTTCGGAGCGCACGTAATATCGTTGCGGCGCGCTCTGCCATGTACCGACGATCGCGGCGGTCGCCGAGATCGCCGCGATCGCCACTACTGTCGCGAAGTATGAACGCTGTCTTACGAACAGAGTAAGGTAATAAGGGACAGCTCTGATATCAATATGATAACAACAAATGAGAAATCGTTGCAAGCCCTCTTTCTGTCGTATTCTCGTACGAGCCCCGATCGGAAGGGGTTCTGTCCAATGCTTTTTGAAGATTTTTTGGCTTTTTCTTCACAAGTGGGTTAAATACCACACTGCGACTGCTAAATGAGCCCCACCATCCATCACTTGGTGCGAGAGCAGAACATCCCAAGCCCTGAGCGCAAAGTCGGCTGGGCCGGAACATTCATTGCCTATTTTTTAAACTTGTCAGCTTGGAAGAAATCTCGTTTCTTAACAAGGGAAGGATGGGAGGTTGAAGTGGCCATTTGGAATGAAACGTATACTGACTGAAAGGGGTCGGCCTATAGTAAAGGCGTTTTTCACTTCAAAATATCCCGCTGCAAAAAAAAGTTCTGCCATTGAGTTTTACACTGTTTTGTAGAAATTTCTACTTCATATCCTTGAGTGCACGCAGAAAGAGAAGAGGATACAACCGCTAGCAAAAGTGTAAGCTAATCCTTCTATTCTATAAAGCAGTACCTTTGTGTGTCGGTCTGTCGGCCTGTATGTATGTAAGTATGTATGTATGTTTGCCCGTCCGCAGAATGCTTCACGGGTTCGAGTCCGCGGTAGGAGATAACGACCGCTAGGCAAACTGGTAACCGATTGGCGCGGATGTATCAATCCAATGTTTTGGTTGTGATAGCAGCCTCCGCTATATAAGACAACCATCCGGTACAGCTCGAGCCATTGCACGAGCTGCTGGCGTAGCAGCTGGACGTGTGCTCGTGCGGAGGCAGGGTGGGGTGGAGCGGAGGGGCGGGGGGACGCCGAGTGCCTCCCCCCTCTGCTCCCTTCCCGCGCACGTGCTCAGGTAGACCTGAGCATGTGCAAGGGAACTGCAGAGCCGGAAGGACACGGGGGCGTTTACTCCAAGGTATGATACAGGCTATGGCACAGGAATGTTATTGGTGGGTGAAAAGAACTGCTGACTGCTGATAAAATTTGATAAGAGGAGTTAAAATGGGAAGGTCAGCCTACTCATATCGCGGGACACAGCATAAGCTGGGCGTTGATTCCAGCAAATGATCTAAACGATAAGGTGGGGACGGCGACGGAGGCTGACAGGAAGTGATAACAGCTGATAGGGGCTGATAGAGAACGTTGCAGTTGCTGTTCAGTCGAACGCTGCGGCCTTTACGCCACGAAATCATGTATTTATAGCGGCATTTATGACGGTTGACAAGCAATTTTATCAATTGATGCGAAAAGATAAGAGACATTCTCACGACATCTATGACCACTAAACTGCCAAGTAATAAAGTCTCAGTAAGCGACTTTTCCTCCAGTCATCACTTCTCTGCTAGCAATCCCATCCCACTATCCTGCTATATATATACGGCGAACGGGGGGAGGGGGTGTATGTAGTTCGCGTGAAACAGGAAACTCGGGAAGTTCAAAATTCAAGGTTAACTGGAAATCTGGATTATAAGGCACTTTTTTCCTTTTAAACTCTCATTTACTGATGAGAACGTAATAGTAAAGGGCTACAGTTGCGGGTTTGACAGGGTAATTTCAAAGGGGAAGCGTTCATCGGTAGGCATTTCTGTGCAGGTGATGGAAACAAAATTCGTTCTTCTATTGAATGGTTCATATTGGAATGTTTTTGTTGACTGCACTTTGTATGTATTATATATCTATAGATCTATATATTGCATTATACTTATTACGCGTACCACAAATATAAGCGTGTGCTAAGGCTAAGTGGTACAGAATCCGCAGGGCTGCTCTATATTACAATCCCACCATTAGACCGCCGTATGAGCAGCCCAGTAATCAGAAGTGATCCATTTCCATGGAGCGCGCCTGGCGAAGCCAAGCCAGCTCGGCGAAGCCGAGCTAAAGAGAAGGAGGAGAGCTCGGCGTCAGCCGAGCGATCCGACTGGTCAATAATAAAGTAACAGGATGTCGGTTTGATTGTGATAATACTTTCAACTACATGAAAAAACCATTTAGTACATTCCAGACCATCACAAAAGCTGCGTGGCAGCTGGGCGTAAGGTCGCGCGGGGGGGGGGGGAGGGGAAACCTCTCCTCCTGCTTCCCAGCCCCATACGTGCTCTGTAGGAACTGAGAACATGCAGGTGAGGGAGACCGGGGGGAAGGGGGGGTCGGGTGAAGGGGGTAAGGTGGTTGGGTGTGTGTCGCACGCTTGAGTAGGAGTACGCAGCAAGCTGCTCGCGCGGCAGCTAGACGTGAACTCGTGCGTGGGTTGCTCCATCTATTACGATTCGGTCAAAACAGCGCAGTACGAGCAGCTGAGTGAGTGAGCAAATTCCGTTTCCCTCATGAAGTGAGCCTGGCGAAGCCAAGCCAGGTGAAGAGAAGGAGGAGAGTTTGGAATTAGCCGGGCGATCCGACTGGTAAAGGAAAAAGTAGGCGAATATATTAGCATGAATTAGCAATCGTACGCTAGCACTGGCGACGGGATCGTACGCTCAAGCGATCGACGCCGTCATACGCGGGCACGATCGATCGCCCGAACGCGCGACCGTAGCACTGCCGTCGCGAAGTCTGAACGCTGCCTAATTCGTACTGAATACGAGTATGCTCCCCCTAAAGAGCTGCGTAACGTCTTTCTGAGAGGTCCGCATCAGATACGGAGGACTGTTTTGTAATCCCTGTCCGAAAACCTTTCATTCGGTATACGCTTCATTTTGAATGGCCACTCCGACCAACCATCATTCTCTTTTGGATCAAGTGCATCAACGTTCTCCGCCACTGCGTTCTATTCTGCCTTGGCCTATTCGTCTCTGTCCTGCTGTATGTCCCACACTTGTCACCCACATTCGTCGCAGCGCTCACAGCTGAAAACCCTCCAATATCGAAGCATAGTGTCTGATCGCAGGACAATCAATGACATCTGTACTTTGGTCTTCATATCCTCTGTTGGAGCCACTCGTACCACTACTGCGATTCGCTCAACGACGAGGTTGCATTGGAACTGGAGAAAGGTACATGTCAGCGACATGCGCAGGAGAATGAACGTAGACAGGAGAAGCTGTGTACAGGGTCTGGTAGGGGAAAGTGGGAGTCTAGTTTGAACGTGCTGAGTTATCACTAGTTGTCACTACAAGGGCGCCGAATTCTGAACAGAACAGAGCGGGCGCGAGAACTTGCACTTCACGTTCAGCAGGCGAACCACTAAGCCGGAGTGATCTGCTTGCTGGGCTGAATTCTAGAATCAGCTTCACTGCTACGCGCCACATTCAGTTTACTGCATTTAGTTTACAAAAAAACATGCCTACATGCGATTAGGTATCACAGTATTCATGATGAATAACCAAATGGTCCACAAACCGTCTTGGACTTGCCAAATTGACCCGTCACCGCTTCCATCCTTCCAAAAAAGGCTGATTCCTTTGCTCAGTCTCGAGATTTGAGGTGTTTGTTCAGCCTGGGTAAATTGTTGTTGCGCACGTACGCCGTCACCTTTGTGATTTGCTATGATCACAAGACCTGTGCAGGGTGTTGCATCACGCGAGTTGGTTACCAGCAGGGGAGCAGTCAGGAGCAGCAAGGGAGCTTAACAGCCCTATATACAAAAACTGAAGTAAAACTGTACAAGAGTATCGTTATAATGGCGCTCCTTGAAAACCTTATAATCATACAATGCAACCACACTAAAATCCAATTTTTATTGCTCCGGCTTGAATCATCGTAAATCAGGACAATAATGATCTGTACTGCAGGAGGCAATCTGACAAATGTATAGAAGGTCCTTGTCACAAAACTCATTGAACCACTGGCCACTGAAAAATTTCAATGCTCAACCTCCAGGCATAATATTCAACAGCTTAACAAAATAAGAGAAGGCATAGATCAGCTGGCTATTTTTCATAAGCCGCTAAACAGATACTTGGCTGAGGGTTTACATATTTTCCTCGATATTTTTATTAACTATGTGCCTGCGGGATAATTTGGCAAAAATCGTTTGATATTTGATATATTCAGTGTGATCGTCATTTGGTATTATAACATAGGTTTTGCACTTCAGCACTGTATTATTGAGGAGGACTTCCAATAAATTTTTCTTCTTACTTTTATCATGCGCTCCTCCTTTTTAACTTTGATGTTGCCTCAAATAACGAATTGGAATGAGTAAACTTTCTGTAGTCGAATGGAACCCTGGCAAGAATGCAAAAACCTATCGGGCGATCCGGCTGGGTCTTTACATTAATCCCAAATTCAATTGTTTTTACATGAAGCGTGCTGGTTACGAAGGCGCTTCCGCCCTTTGCCTTCGAAATCTACTTGGGTGAGTAAGTCTCCAAAAAGGTTTTCTGAACTCTATGCTCTGAGCTCGCAGCGCATACAATTCATGCAAGTCACCTCTCCTGATCAGCCGCAAGCTTCATCTGGCGCAATCTTCAATGCTGTAACGTAACAATTCTTGCATGTTCGGAGGAAATAGTCGCTGTCAAGCAGAGAGCCCAGCTGTTAGGTTTTTTCATGGGGCCCTGAAGCAGATATTCAGTCACACGAAAGGTCACAATTTGAGCCTGATGGGCGCGCGGTGGGGATGGCTGATTAGGAAGTGGTCCAAGAACGAAAAGAGAAATGACATTACGTGGACGAGCCGAAATGCATGCACAATCAGAAGATAAACAGAAGAACATATGAACAAGAAGGTAACATAAGGTAATTCTCGCTTACGTTTTCTCTTCTCCGGGTACCATTTTGACACAGTCACCTTTTTGAGAGTCAGGGTATTTTGCCGCCCACTGCTTGAAGTCGATATCATGCATCTGTAAACAACATGATTAACAACACTACATATCAGGCACTGATAGCGAGAATTGAAAAAGTTATTTATGTTGCGTTCGACGGTATGAAACTAGCTTGATTTCCAGGTCGCCGTGTCGACAGTTCAGCCAGCTTTACAACTGCACTGCACAATCAAAGCGAAGTAAGCAAAACTCTCCCAGCTAGGTCACTTCTATCATATCGGATCCGATCGATACAGCAGGGCGCGATTCAATCAATATACAAATTTTTACTCATGAGCCCATCTTTCCAGTTCTGTGCGCATGGTGAAATCCTCAGTTAGAAAAGAACTGAAGTTTTTCCTTGGAAATAGTCAGTTCAGATAACTGAAAACATACTGGTTCTCCATTATTCCATTTATATGCATTGTCGTTGTACGTCAAGCCGATCCAGAAAGGGACTTTCACTTGCATCACTGAAATAAATGTGCTGTTCTTATGCTACCCGAATGAGAGAGTATGTCGGGTTAAGGTCCGTAAGAGATGTGTTGTAGAGTTCCACCTTACTCAAAATGTAATGTAGTAGCTTGCTGCGCCAAGCCTGTTAGATATTCTAATTCTCCTCTGTGTGTGGCTTCCCTCTAAAATCTAAGACCCACCATCATGACATGACTTGCATGTTCGAATCCGTACCCTCCTTGCGAGCAATTCCTTCAAACAGATGAGTCTACATTGGCCGGGAAAGGACCAAAATGCACTTTGTTTGAGAAATATTTCGAGAGCAAGGTAATGGAATGAATGAGCTTCTTGGGCTAATGTTTGAGAAAGCGACCATCAAAGAATCTTCACAATTCAATAAAGCAGTTAGTGGAGTGGGGAACCCAGTCGTCATCAGTGATGAATAGTTCACCCTCTCACGACGGTAGAGGCAGTGAGCGAGCATCTCTGGATGTGAGGGAACACTTCAGAACTATTTTATTGACCTCGTCATCATGCGCGCGACAGAGACATCAAGAATGAGTGCCATTAATTAACTGTTTCCCTTACACTCGATTCGTACTCTTTCAGTGGCAAAAAGCAATAGTCGTTATATTTTATCCCCTATAACCATAGCAATAAGGAAACACCTCATTCATGGATCTCACTATAGCCAACATAGTGATGCTACCTCGTTCCTAATATCAAACTCACGGCTAGTGAGAAACTGTGATTTCTCCTTGCTGTCCACCTTGGCGATGGTCCCATTGAAGTGTCGACTGCAGCTTCGCTGGGCAAAACTCTGGAATGAGAAAGATGCTTTGGAAGTTTCATCTGGAGCTCAATCGAAAGAGTCGCATATGAGTCAGAGCACAACTGCAGTTGAGGGATAAACACCAGAAATCGTTGTACATTTATATTCTACTCGTAGTCGTGAATGTATTTGGTTGACGTGGCACCCTATTTGGTTGATGTGGCACCACTTAGGTTAGCAAAGCCAATACGTTCATTCTTTGAAGACCTTACCCTATTGCAAAAGGTGAACGGTAAGATAATTTTTCGCATAGGAAAAAGCAGTAAAAAAATGCTCTGCTCTTTTCAGTTGATTTCGAACAGTGAAGGAGCATATGTGGACGCGACAGTCAATAAGACCCTGGTAGGGAGGATGAGGCAAAGATGAGATAAGGGAAAACTGTCAACGAAAAAGAGGATTCATTCACACTCGTCAAGACAGTACCTGAAGTGATTTAGTACTGCGGAGAAGCAGAAGCTATCTCCAGATGAGCGGAGGTAGTATAGTAGCATGTGGCGCTTACCACGCACACGGTCATGTGTTAAAACTCGGATTGTCTCCAGCCCCCATCTGTATTTCCCACTAGAGTGTGAAGTTGATGTCCAGTAGCAGAGTGTGGAAAGAAATCTTGTTTCGGAATGCGTGTAGTGCTAGTCGTGGTCTCGGAACTGTCTAGCAAATTTAGCAACTTCGTCTAACTTTGTCCATCTTCTCGCTAAACCATCGAGAGGGGCACGACTGAAGGTGACGCCTTGGTCGGCAATGCGGCTGTAAAAGGCGACGGCCTTGGAAAACAATGTAGTCCATCGAGCGTAAATCTTTGGTTGGTCCACCCTTACAACTCCATCTACAATGCAGTACACGCGTGCGTTTCTGCTCCACTCGCAAATACGTTTCCATAACCTGTACGAAAGACATCATACATTGTTCATCATGTTCATTACTTCACTATTTTTTGAATCAGACGGAAGAACATCGCCTTGATTTTGCCGGCATCAAACCGCTATAGCTCACCTGGATTGCTGGAAGTGAGAACTTTCTGTAGCATCCTCCGTACGGTACATCGTCCCTCGATTCGAAAGCCTTGTAGTGAGTTGGACAGAAGCAGTTGGCTAAAATAATGCAGTTGATCTATAGTCTAGTTCGCTGCGGATGATGGGGTGTGTCAGGCGGAATGAGTCTGGTCCGGTGCCAAATCCGTTCTCCACCAGTTGTTGAAGCGAGCAAGCGACAAGAGCATATCATATCGTTCGCGTAAGTTGTTTTCTACCACTTCCAGTTGTTATCGCATACCCGCTTCAACAACTAGCAAAGAACGGGTATGGCACCGTGGCACACTCCTGTGTCTTGACATGCCCCTTCGTCCCAGCGAACTAGAGTATATTCATATCCATTTTCAGGACACAATCAGTTGGTTAAGCTAATACAGCTGATCTATTTACATCCATTTCTACTTTCTGCAATCTGAAATATAATTCTACGAACAATTTAGTGACGTCATGCCAAATTCAACTTACAAACCCTTGCAGAACAATCGGTGCAGCTGATGTGCGTCAATTTTGGCATGCCGATTTGTAAGCGCAAATCCTGGACTTGCCAGCGTATCCAGCATCTCAGCAGGAGCGCCATGAACTTGCATGTATTCTGAACAACAGTATGCATCAAAAGAAGCAGAAAGGATCAGCCGAGCTATGAGCCGGTTTCAAGGCAAGGATTTTTTCTGCTTTTCATCACTGCAGCGTGTATACCGCAGGATGTGCCAGAATCACTTGCTCAAAAAGAATTACCCCTGGGAAAACGGTGAAGCAGTAGATCGGGGACTCTCTTCCATAAACATTTCACTGTAGGACACATTTGCACCATACTACGAATCCGTTCATCGTTTTTTCATGGGTTTGGATTCATGCATTCAAACGAAGTGGTGAGTCGGCTACTGCGGCACGCATGTTTTTCAAAGTGGTTTTGTCATGAGTCTTAAAGGCAGCGCCCGCGTTCAAATTTTATGAGTATGCGGCTCAGGTAGTAATAGCGAGGTAGCAAGAAACCTATTAGTGAAGAAAAATCAAAAAGAAAACATGCAAAATGCCTTATAAGGAGTTTCATACCGAATAGCGGCTGGGCGTGCTTAAGGCGAAGAGAAGGAGTGCACGTGTTCTCATGTTGGTATCAGCTGTTTTCCCTCATCACGTCGCTGTCACCACACGACACGACGCGGAGAGAAGCAGCAATGGAACTACCGCACCGTCAGGCAACCATTAGAAATGAAGTTGGGCGTCTGATTGCCAGGTGGGCGGGGCGGTCGACTCTTTACTCGTGATAGGCGCTATCCTCTCGTCTTTGTGAGATGAAAAACTAGTACGTACTGCATCCTTATGGGGAGGGCTATGGTATCCAGAAGGGCGTAGAAACATCAAGTGAACGTGGGCGCTGCCTTAATATTTCTCTGGAGATATTCGATCAAACAGTTTTGTAATCCAACACTCTAGGTAGGACATTTTGCTTTGAAATAGGCACCACTGCAAGGCTGCGCTACTCAGCACTGATGTAAGCAGATAGAGTGTACCAACAGCATTGTTGTGCCATCTTCTACTATTAGGTTACCCGGAAAGTTCTCAGCATTTTGAATGTTTCTTTAAACGATCGTAACTTTCTTAGTACTCATCGAATTTAATTGAAATAAGCACCGTTTGAATCAGCACACTCGCCAATGTGACGTCAGTCGACAAATCACATTGAAGAAAGAAAAAAAGGGTGGTCGAGAATCCACAAAGTCCATGTAGGCCTTTTTTGCCTGGTCCTAATTGATGAAGTATTTTCCAGCAAGGAAGTTCTGAAAATGTCTGAAAAGGTGATAGTCGGTCGGTGAAAGGTCTGGAGAACATGGCGGGTGAGGTAGAACTTCAACATCAATTCGTTCAATTTATGGATAGTGATTTGTGAAACGTGTGACCTCGTTGCCATGCAAAAGAATAGGACTCTTTCTGTTAGTGCTGGCTGCAGCTGACGCAATTTTCAGTACCTTTCGTCAACTTCTTCACAGTGGCTCTGCTGTAATGGTTTGGCCTGGTGACAAACAGTTAGAGTGGATCACACCAGCCGATGACCACCTTACTGTGACCACAATCTTTTTTTCGTGAGGTTTAGGTTTTGGCATTTGCCTCGGTGATTCTTCGGCATCCAACCACTGTCCGGAACGTCTCCTGTTATCATACATGATCCACTTTTCATCACAGGTTACAATTCGGTGGAAAAACGGGTCGTTTCTGTTCTGCAAAAGTAGTGAAGAAGAAACCTCGAGACCTGCTCTGCCGGTCACTCAAATTGTGGGGTACCCACTTGTCGAGTTTCTTCACCTTCCCGATGCGTTGACCATCCGCAATAGTGGATTTGCAAGCGCCATACGCTCGTCTGCAATCCTTGAACTGTTTGGGATGGGTCAGCCAACACCTTCAAATCCTCTTCAGGTATTGCTTTACGTCGACCGCTACGAGATTCATCTTCACGGCTGAAATCTCCGGAACGAAATTTTTCGAACCATGGTCGCACGGTACTTTCTCCAACACTGCTGGGCCCCCATACCTGGTTAATTTGTCGAGCTGTCTCGACTGCGTATTGACCCAATTTGTAGTTGAAGAAAATATCGTTCGAAGTTGATCTTTTGACATGCTTCAAAAAGTCTTGGGGGAAAGGGGGTTTATCAAGCAGTGGTGGAACGGCAATTATACCTTCAAATAGCGCGAAAAATTTCCTTCAGCATGTACTACTGATACGCAAGAGAGAATAAGTTCTTAATCAGCAATGAATGTACAAAAAATAGTAACACAAAACGCTGAGAACTTTCCAGACAACCTAATACGAGGTAAGTTGGTACTAAAGACCTGGTCCTAGAACGAGCATGTTTCTCTTAGATTTTGCGATGCTCCTCGCTCCTGGGTTCATACTAATGCCTTCATTCATAAAACCTGTGGAAATTGTCTGTGTGGGTGAGCGCGGCTTGCATCTTGGATGTTCATGAAATTTCTCCTTCCCGCTGGCTTCTTTTTCAAGGAACACTCGATCTTTTTTGCCACTCGAAATTCAACTTTAGTGACGGTGCGGCAACGATCGAAGAACCTTCATTGCTACCTAATTAAATGTCAAGTTTGTTTAATATATTGTTTTTGAAGCGTATGTAATGAACAGCTCATAAACTATGCATACTCAA